TTCCCGCTGGGGAAATATGGGCTGTGATAAGGAGCACAATGGCCCTGTAATGTGGACTGCCTGATCATTTCCCTTTAATCCAATTAGAGCCCCCATTCAAAGCCCAGGCAAGAGCTGTCTATTGTAGCCCCTTTTCCTTAGCCAATTTATGTTCAAATCTATCAACGCCATGTAGTGTGCACTGCTGCTCAGGGACGGGCTGCATTTTCTCTCCCAGTATCTCAAGAACACTATACATCAATACCTCAGCACATGCACCAAGCTCCTAGTAGGATTAGGTCTCAATGAGCATTTCCAGAGCCTTGGTTCTTCTTTAGTGTTTCTTTTTCTGTTTAATTTTAGAAGAAAAAGAGTACTTTAGTATTAGAAACACGAGCATTATTGGGTTCTATTGACGTACTCGGTGTTATTAATGAAATTCCAGTCAGTAATGGGTGGGACCATGTTTTTTGCCAGAATACCATCTTTTAACCCCCTCTTTCTCCTTGCACACTGTTAGAAGCCTTCCAAGAACCATGTGAACCTTTCGTGTCTGTCAACCTGCAGGTAATACTCTGCATTAAAGTTGTCTGATGGGGGTGTCTAAGAATTTGCCTCGATGAAGAATAGATAAGAAGGGCTCTGACTATTAATTGGCTCTTTTGCATTGAGCAAGTTACTTTTCTTGTTTGAATACCAAGTGACTTAGTTGAAATCATTAGTTGTTGAGTGTTTACTTCAAGGTGTGAATTAGGAAGGATGGGCTAGTGGTTGTCCTTTTAAATAAGATCAAAGCTCTGATGAGATCAGTAAGGTCCTTTCTAATCTTGTGCCGTTCGGTATGAGGAGTACAGAACTCAGGGGTAACCATCTTAACATGCTCTTTGTGCCATCTCAGTTTGTACAACGCTTTGAACTCATGGGGCAGAAAGACAAGGAAGCCCTCAGATATGAAAACCAGCAAGACTTTCATCCAGCACTTCAGGCAACCCCCTCCATCCCTCAAGCTGGGCAGAGACTCCAGGTAGGCAGCAGAGGGAGCGAGCTTTACAGTGAAAGGGATGAGTTCCAGGCTGGCAAGGATGAACGAGCTTCAGGTAGGCTCTCCACAAGCAGGCTGTCTGGTAACTGGCTCAGTGGTGGGTTTGGGTTCTTGGTTGGTCCTAATTTAAATGAAATGAAAACTAGGGAGTTGTCCGTTATCGCTGGGGGACTGATCCCGTAAAATAATCTGGGCATCCTTGTTTGGCTTGGTGGAGCTTGTTCCTGAAGATAGTAGTTCCACCTGAGGATGTGATGGACTGGTGGCGCAGGGGATGTTGGTCCCTCTGACTGATGCACGTTATGTGGATGAGAGCTTCATCTTTTTTTCATAACATGGTCAACATTCATCCCTAGGCTTAGTATCTAAGTGATTTCATTTGGATTCTAAAGTATCAGAGTCAATGGAAGCAATGAATTACCCCAGCCCCCTGTCAATACCACTATTCTTTCTCTCTGTGAGAACTGGTTTTCAATTATGCAGAATCCTTATTCAGCTTATTTGGGCCTCTTGTTGTAAAGCTTCTCTCTTTCTTTCAATCATGGACAATCTACAGGCGGTGCAATATGCTTGCTTTTTGCATTCTTTCCATCAAGGTCAGAATGGAAATCTTTGGGTCACATGATCTGGCAAGCTGCCTACTGAGCCTAGCCATGGAACTCAGCCCTACTGCCTTACTCCAGCTTCTTTCCCTGACTTTCTATCTTCCTGTTGCTTCCTGTTTCCTTACCACACTTTTGCTCTTCCTCACCTCACTTTCTGCCTTACACCAACAGGTAAGTTCTCAGCTCCTCAATTACTCTGCCTTTCACACGGAGGAGTGTTGAGGAAAGCAATCAAGGCTAAGGTCAATTTGAAGGGTAAGGCTTCCAAGATGATCATATCAGCGGTAGAGCGATGCTTCCTCAGTATGAAGGAAATGAAACAACTCATTTAACTCATTAATATTATAAAACAGTAATAAACAAAAAACAACCATCTGGAGTTTCTGAATACTGCCCAACAATGCATCAAGTGCAGAGGCATCTATGCCAGAACCACCGTTTCTTCTCGATGGGAAGAATGAGATATGGAGGTAACTGGGCCAAGATGTGCTTTGCCTTTTCCTGAGTCCCCATAGCTCTGAGATATGCAAGTTTATACAAGGCTCCCTGCTGTGGGTATCACTGACAAGATATGGCTTGCCCTGAAGTACAGGTGTCTCAGACGTCCACCCTCCAAAGTCATGTTACAAGAGTTTCAAATGAGGTGACCTAGTCAAGAGTACTGGGATGACCCCCACACCAGCTTTCTATTTGCCAACACTTGTCTGCTGAAGATAAGACGGGTAATGTCCTGGGACTCAACTGGCAGAAAGTTAATGCCCAAGTGCAGAGTGCAGCATCCTCTCCTGTCTAGATTCGGCCCTGGTTCCCTCTGAGTCATTTAATATAGATTTAAGACACAATTGCAGTTTTGATGACAGTCATTTCATTGGTCCATGGAGCTCACATTTTGTGTTTACACTTTAAATAATTTATCTTTTTAAAATATTCAATCTAATTTGTCAAGATAGCTGCAATGCTTCCTATCAGGGGCCAAGCAAGGGCATCCTTCTAGGGGTGGTAAGGTACCATTCTATCCCCAACTCTGGGTACCATGGTTCTTTCTAAGGAACAGACTCTGTCATAGGAGAGACACTACTATGGGGGTTGTCTTGGCAGTTTTTGAAGATGCAACCGTGAGATCCATTCCAGTATAAGTAAAAATGGAAGAACAGTCAGAAATTGATCAGCAAAAGAGATGTCTATGAAGAACCTTTCGAAATTGTACTCATCCATGAGATATGAGCGGTCTACTATACACCAAGTTACATCTGGTCTGCAGCATTTAGAGAAGGGTCCAGTGCGACTTGAAGTCATCCTCAAAGAACATAGACCAGCCAGCAAAAAGAGGCTACCTACCAGGTGAAGAAGGACGGCACCTAGCTAGACACTAGCTGGACAGTGCAATGCTCTGATCCAGAGTGACCCTTAGGAAGTCACACTTCAGTACATTTACCCTTTCCCCAGAGGTTTGGATGACCCAGGGCATGAGCCAAATCTTTATCCCGAGGAACAGCTGGACAGGCAACATTGTTGGTTCCTGGTTGGAAGCCCAATGAAACTATACAGTTCCTGAATTATGAGGCAATCTCTAAGTTCACCCACAGCTCAAGGTAGTGCAGGAAAGTTGACCAACTAATATGTGGTTGCATATATTTACCTGGGGGCAAAATTCAAAAAGTCAACCTGAAAGAAAAAAGTAGGGCTGAAAAAACGGCTCAGTAAGTAAAGTGTCTGTTATATAGTCATGGGGATCTACCTGAGGTTGTAACCACAGCACCTATGGAGAAGTCAGAAGCAACGGCATGGGTCCGTAGCCCCCAAATTGTGAATAGTGCAGACATGTTGGGGATAGCTCACCAAATTGGTGTGCTCTAGGCTCAGTGAGAGACTGTCTCAGAAAATAATATAAGAAGTGACCGATGAAGAAACCTAACGTCAGCCTCTGCTCTCCAGATGCCCATGTGCACACTCATGTGCACAGACAAGTTCACACACACAGGCACACACACATATGAACACCCAGATAAATACCTGCACATATACTGTGCAATATGCCAGATTAGGGAGAATGAGGAAGAGAGAGTGAGGGAGAGAGGGAGAGGAAAGGAAGGTAGTTCATAATTGATGGGTGTATCAAAAGCTGCAGACCACCAAGATGGTCTATTTAACAAAATTAATTCAGCTAAAGCAAATAGTGAAATAACCACCCAGACGGAAACTTACTCCAGAGACAGGGGAACTCAGGTCAAAATTCAATGCCTTTCATATTGCCTAGTTCCTGGAAACCCCAGGCTCAAAGTCACATTGATTAGATCTCCATTGTCCAAACACAAACTTACTGTGTGGCTATTATAAGCTGGTTTTCTCTTCTGTGCCTCAGTTTCTCACACTGATGGAGATGAGGGAGCATCTCCCTGTTAGGGTGATGGAGACCAATTGTAATGCTCATGGAAAGAGCTAGGACATGGCTGTGCTCTCTACAGTTAGCCATTCTCGGCTGACTGCTTTCCCCTCTGCTGTTTAGAACACCCGCGTGCTATTGACGTTCACCTGCCAAACTGCCTTGTTGTGGATAATGAATTATTGATTTCAGACATCTGCATCCCTAGGATGGCTTAGTTCATAAGGTTATAGGCGCATAGTAGGGTGTATGTTCATCACTTTGATGTTGTCATCGTGCAAACAGAGCAAGAAAGCATGCCTTTGGCTTGGAAGAAGAGGGCAGCATGGATGCCCTGCAGGATGGAGAGGGGGCCTAGGAGGCTAGTGGGTACCAAAGTCCAGTTACACTGATTTTCCTGTCTGACTTGCTGTGATCCCTCCATGCTCAATCTGGCTGGTCAGAATAGTTGTGGGAAATAAGAGGAATTCAATCGTACAGATCACATATCTCTGATTTCCCCAAACCTTATACTCCACTGCTTGCTGCTAGGCACACTAATCCTGTGCTTTAGTTTTGATTGTGAACAGATGGGAGGACACACTCTGACACCAGGCCTTTCCAGAACCCTGCGGGATTACTGGGCTCAACATTTCTTACAAACCAAATGCTAGATCAACTTCACCCTCCATGATTCCATTTGCTGGCATTAAAGCCTAAATCCTCCCCAAGAGCTTTCTGTCCACAGCACAGGTCTTGGCAACAAATAAACATAAATAAATTCAGCAGAAAAAAAATGCAGAAAAACAGAAACGGACCAACCTTCCTTCTGTAAGACCCAGGAAGAAAGCAAAGCCACCTTAGAATGTGTATTTCGGTAGAATTTTGTCTGCTTGGTCTTAGTAGACATCATAACAAGTATAGGTTGCCTCGGAGCACATTTTTATTTAACAATTTCTAGTTGCAGAGATCAGGAGCGGCTATGTCATTTGAGTAAAGTTTAAAAAAAAGGCTTAGGTGTCTGCTTTCACTTTTCAAAACAGCATTTTCACTTCCAATTGCAGCTCTGTGTTTCATAGGATCTTTCTTCATTGCTAATAAGTATAAGATTTTAAATAAACAAGTAGCGTTTCCTTTAGATTCCTTGCATTAGATACATTGACTCTAAAAACTCTCAACATTCACAAAATAAGGACAGCAGTATGAGAGACCCCCCCACAAACACCTCTCCCACACTTTGACAATGACCCATGCTTTGCTGAATTCTGTTTGCTCCTTTTTTCCTTCCTTCCTTCCTTCCTTCCTTCCTTCCTTCCTTCCTTCCTTC